CACATTGTTGCGGACATATTGACAAAGCTGATTCCTGTGAGACTCGGCGACACCAATGTCAAGTATTAATGCCATGATTTTGTTGCAATGATCTCATCTGATATGTTGCTCTATTTTTTTAATGAACGCTCAAGTTTAATTGTTTTCATTATTGTTTTACCATCGTCATGGCTAAATGTGTCCTATATTTTGCAAATGGGTCATGATACACTTCACAGTACTTGACTCCACTCTTAATGCGGGTCGCTGTCGTGAAGTTTTTTAATTTGCCTTACGGTGTTTCGAGGTGAATGAACAAGTTATAGTGATATTTTCATCCATAAAAGGAGTGACAAGTTAGTGGTAAAATGTAATTTACAAGAACTTGATCATGCTAACATTTAGAGAGTGCTCAATAGGCTTTTAAGCGATTTATCCAATGGCTGCGTAAGTGGGTAAGACGAGGGCCGCCAAGAATCTTGGATGGCTCCAGGGGTAGATGGCCCCAGGAGTGAATCTCCCGGTAGCTTCAATAATAGTGATTTAGAGTCTGATGATTCTCTCCAGCAAATTGTGTTAAACTCTTTGACGGGGCCATGGCCCTCTCCCGGTTACCACCACTGCCAATTACCTTACTTTATAATACTTAAACATCCTACCTAGGATATTTAAATATTATAGCATCCTAGCTGTATCTCAGAATGTTTATTTCCTTAATATTTAAGTATGATAAATAGTTCTTTATAGTTTTAATATTTATACCATGTTTCATTAAGTTGGCAATGGTACATTTGATATTACTGTACAGTAATTGGAAACTATTTAGTATACTGTAATCCATTACAATACCATGCTTTAAGAATGATAGGTACAGTATATAATTAAAAAAGCGCAACATTATTTGGAGTTGGACCAAAAAGAAAAGTTTATTTCAATTTGGTGATATTGCAATAAACTGCTGCATCAAACAGAAGTCATTCATCATTATTGCTTAAATCTAATTTGTCAAGAAATTCTGCTTGAGTAGTTCTAAAGTGCCTGTGTGTTTACAGATCTACTTGAATTTCAAGTCAAAAAGTTAATTATAATACTGTTTAAATTTGCAGAAGATTAAACAATAACCAATGAAGCTTGAATAGGTTTGTTGTAAGATGGTAAGATAAATACTTTAAGTAGGAAATTAATTGTGAAAAGAGTACAGTGGAAGTATACAGTATGTCTATTTTGTATACCCAATATTGTTAGTAGCAAAATAATTCAGTTTGCTTAGATGAAGTTGGAAGGAAAGCTATTGGAACAACAGTACATCAGGTTTCATGCTATTATCTTTACGAAATAAAATATAGGCCTGATTTTTTTTTTTTTAAATCACCAGCAACTATTAATAAAGAGGCTTACAGATTGTTTTTCACCCAAGGCTTCTGATATTTTTCGCATACTATATTTTTCATATTTTAGCATAAACTGTAGTATACCTAGAACTATGCATCATAGGTACTTTAAAAGTACTGCAACAATATCATCTGGAAATGTTGGTAAAAAAATACTGAAAGTGGTTTAGAAGAGTTTTCTGGTGTATTATTCTTTTCACACGTCATAAAATATTACTCACCTTTGGTTTGACTCACCTTTGGTTTGCCTCACCTTTGGTCAATAGAAGATTGTGTAATTTGAGTTGAGTAAATTCACTTCCTCTATTCACAACTATATATTTAGTAGTTGTCTTAGTTATTACCAGTAAAATTGTTCTTAAAAGATGTATAAATTTAAGAAATTATGACTCCTCTAAGATTCTCTAACTATTTTAATCGGTGGTTGTCTTGTTACATCTCAAGCTTTAAAATAATTGATGGAGGTTCTAAAATGGTCTCAACTCATGCTGGATTTAGTGGATTGCTTCAGTCTGATATCGTTAGAAATTGAGTTATTTATGATATATTTTTAATGGAAAATATTTGGATCATAACTTACGTGGATTTAGAATTGATGATCAGGAGATGAAAGATGGCTACGATCATGATATGAATTTTCGATTACATTATTCGATGGATGAAGTAAAAAATATGGATTTAGAATAGACTTGAGATGATTGGACTCACTGGGCTTGGATGGTCAGCTAGGACGGTAAATCGCAAACATTATTGCGATTTAATAATGGGAACACAGACATTTGCAATGTTAATGTAATTGAACAGTGAACAATAGATTGATGATGGTGATTATTAGATTAAAATCAGTAATTCTTTAACTGAATCCAATTTTTAAGAGGATAGACACGAAGATAACAGCAACAATTAGACTGATTGATGGGGAAAACGCAGTTTGAATATTTAATCGCAAGATAGAGTCTTTTTTAATTTGTGTAGGCTACAGAATATGTATCGACCAATCAGATCGTTTGTAACCTGCAAAACTTGTATTGATCAACAAGATCATTGAAAGTTTAGCACTCAAAAGAAAAATACAAAATTTGTTAGTGAAATGAATGAGTTAGGATTAGTAGACGATAATCAAATAATAAGCAGACAACAAGGATGGATTATTATTATATTGTCATAAATATTAAAGATTCATAATATATTTAAGTGTTTAATTTATTATATTTTTTTTAAACAAGATATTAATTCATTTTATTATTAACTAGTTTTCATACCCATCCAAATTAATTTTTATTTTCAACATTTCATCTTCCTTATATATATTCCTAAGTATTCAGTACTTGTGGTGATTACATACAAGCAGCTTAATACTTTAGCTAATTAAGGAACCTGTGCTCAGCCTTCTGTAGCGGTGATTACTACCTATTTATAACTCTGCATTAATTAAAGAACCTTTGATTTGAATCACTGCCAAGTAGACAGGATAAATTTATTTAGCTTTGGAACATTTCAATCTATAATATATTGTTGGTTATGTAAGAGTTGGATTTAAAAGAGTGCCACTCTCCAAAATCAAGTGTTTTGGACTCACAAATTGATGTTGCAAATACGCAAGCATAAAGTTCTAATCTTTCTCATATTGTTCTCTTACTAATTTTTTCAGTGTCTACAGTAGAGCAGAAAAACTTTTTATAAGACTGATATTATTCTTGTTGTCATTCACCTTCACTGCGGCCTTCGTCGTTCTAATAGTTATTGTTTGATATTCAATTTTTAAAGATTTTAGGCGATCATATTATTGTTGATTTCATTGATTTGTGATGAAATTCTCCAGTAGGCGTAATATATTGTTCTATATTGTTTATCATTATTATTACAGTATTCCATTATTATTATTATTATTATTATTATTATTATTATTATTATTATTATTATTATTATTATTATTATAATTATTATTATTATTATTTTAGTTTATCATTATTATTATTCCATTATTATTATTATTATTATTATTATTTATTTTATTATTATTATTATAATTATTATTATTATCCATATATTTTTTTTTTCTGGGAGCAGCACATCTCTAAGATGACAGTGGTTCCGCTTTTTCTACTCCCTGGCTCACCTGATTTTTCTTTGTTTGTGAATTTCTGACTTTTTTTTGTATTTGTAATGTTTTATATTGTTAATTGTTTTGCCAGAATGAATAAAATAAAATAAATAAAATAAAATATAAATTTACAGGCGTTCCTATGCTGTTTTGTTGCGTTTGTTACCTCTGCCCCACCTACAGTAGTCGGCACTCAGTATGTTGTCAACCATGTATGTTATTAGATAATTCTAGGCTCTAAACTTTCCATCAGTTTGTCTCTGTAATGCTTGAATATTGGCTGTTAGAAGCACTCCCATCGACCAATAAGGCACAAGTTTATTTATCCCATAATTCATCAGTGGCAGACTATAACATTAATCTTTCTGGCTAGCTTTGGAATTAATATTTCAATATGGACAATATTAATTCTTATTTCACTAAATGTCAGAACTCTGGGGTAGGGTCAGGTAACCACCTTCATTGTGAGATCTGGTAGCCATTGGCATGAAGTCGGCATTTAGATGATGCTACTTTTGAAATGTAGTTCAAGAGTGATGTACTGTATCACCACATTGTAACTATCATAAAAAAAGATTGAATAATCTTAATGTATAGAAAAATACTTGATATATGTTTTTTGAAACATTCTTATGATTTAGAAAGATTTATACATCATTGAAATAACATTAGCAAGTCATAAAATAAATTTATTATGAATGCAGCAACCTTTTATTAATTGGAGAATACTTATTAGAGAAATGACTATAGATTATATTTGATTTATTACATTTGAAGTATATAAGCTTTATCTATTAAGCAAACAAATACAGTAGTACTAATAGTAGTAGAAAGTATATTGTTGAATAATAAAATAATAATAATATTAACTTGAAAATACTGTCATAATCTTTAATTGTAGGATAATGTACCTGTTGGTACTAATAAATAACGTATATAAAACGTAGTATATAAAAAGAGAGATATCAAGTAATATGCTCATATTGGGATTCAATATTTCATCTCATTATTTCATACATAAATTTACAAATTCTATATTTTTACTATTCTGCAGAGGCATCAAATAAATTCATGAAGGTTAAAGTCTGGTGGTAAATTAATTTTTATTGAGTAAAGTGAAATCAACTGCACAATAAATACACACATACAATTTTGAAGCAAACAAGAAGTTATTACTTCAGAAAATCATTGTAATGGGATGCTCTGAATTTTACTTGGGAAACAATCAACTTGTAACGATTGAAGTCGATTGAAGTCTGATGACAGAGAAATGACTTTTGACCTCTGTCAATCAAAATAATATTGAGCCCTCAATCACTCCATTTTATAAAGATTGTTAAAAAAAATTGTTAAATCTCAACAAGATGACATTTGTATATATTATGCTTGGATTTTTTCATCTACTGCCATTGATCAAAGCTCATCATTTCCTATAAAACAGACTCATTATCTCATAAAATATATATTATGAAAAATTCAATACATTGTCTACAGTTGAATGGAATATCGTTCTTTTTGTCTTGCAGGTTGCTGGCATTGTAGGCAGAGCAGATATATTGGCTTGTCTATTTTTCTTACTAACTGTACTCCTCTATGTCAGGTAACCATACAATTGCTTTATTCGTTTCTAATCATTTTATGTTACTTCAGCAAATACTCGGCTCGGAGTTTTTGTCGGTCATAAATCTAATGAAGTCATCTCAGTTGCCAACATTCATCAAACATTATACAAATGTCACCTCAATTTACATTACATCAAAATGTTTTATGTTTTATCCAAAATCTTACTAGTTTTAATTGAAATAAATATCTATAATAAAGAAAACTGAATTATATTTATCTAGTTTAATAGCTCAAACAAAAGCATTAATTGATTTAAAACATTTTTTTCATTGGATTTTAATTCCATAGTGTAATTTGGAATATGCTTAGAAAGTTTGTTCGTTACAATAGCTGATTGTTGAAACCGAAACCCAGACAAACAAAAGCACGCTTTTGAAACGAGACTGAAATCCTAATGTTTGATTCATCATAGAACGGTTTCATCTCTCTTATTTATAGGTGGTATAACTATTAGATTAGTATCGATAGCCTCTTTCTAAGGAGTTCAAATTCCAAGACTCAAGGTGTTAAAATCTACCATGTGTATTTTATTACAAATCAACATCGCAGGATTATAGTAATCACGATTCAATACGAGTCGTGATACATTTTACGTCACTTTATTTCAGATTGCGTGAAATTTTAATATGCTCACGTATTAGAAATCAGCTCCTTACCCCGTATAATGTTGTTATAATTCTGGTCATTGATTGCATGCTGAAAATCATGCAGTATGTGAGAACATTGCATGTTCCACAGGAGTACAGTAGGCATTCTCAGATTGTCACACAGAACAATAAGCGTAATGGTGTTATGTTAAATGTATATAAGAGAGTGGGAACATGCTATATAATAGAGAAAATTCGAAGTTTTATGATAATATTGATGTTGATCATCTTTCAACATCATGCTTCGCTGTTTTTTTGCTCTTCTATCTCTGCAACAAAGTATATTGACCTAAAGTTTTTTTTTTAATCAATTATTTTATTTTTATTATTATGTTGAGCATCCTCTAACTATATCATTCTACTTAATTTGCAAAATAATAGCATCATATGCATTATAATATCATTTGCATTATTCCACTATCCCACAAAACCAAATGTCAAGTTCTTAAAAGCTTTCAAATTGAATTGCATTGATTTATGAGATAGGAGGGAATGTCCCCAGCTTATAGAATGGATTTGTTCACATATGTTTATTGCAGTGTGATCCAGAAGATCTCTTGAGACCCCTGTCATTACGTAGTAGGCTTGGTAAGGGGGAGTTTAATATTTAGTTGTGAGAAAATCTCCAACCGTCTTCCTGGGATAACGCTATACCTTGAAAAGAAAAGCACCAGCTTTGCCTTTTATAATTTTTTAAAAATAATTTATTGTATTTTTAAAAAAAAGATATTGAGGATAATTTATCCAAAGCATAGCATAATGGTATGATTTGCATAATAAACACATGCTTTTTATAATGGAAAAATCTGTTTATTATGGACATATGTCCTACATGAACTTGTCTTTAATAATCAACATATTTCCTGTAACACATGTCCTGTAAAAAACATATACCTTGTAAATGAACTTGTGTCCTGCAATTCAATCAATTTTTATTGCGAAAATAAAATATGCAATAAAAATTAATTTTAGATGTACTCAAAATACAAAATCTTGAATTTTTAAAGCAATTTATTAAAAGTCAGGCTCCTGTTGCACAATTGATTAAGACACAGAAAGCATATTTGACAAAACACTTAGAAGCAGTTAATAAGTTACAGATTTTTGGAGCCTGGCTTTAATATGGTAGATTAATAATCATGACATGTTAATAGCTAAAACCATATCTAAACTATCAAATTTTATTTGAAATGCCTAAATATGGTCATGATAACATCACATCATGGCCATATATAGGCACATCATGACTATATATGGGCATATAGCATGGACAGAGCTTAGCATCAATTTCAGTGTCTCTGTACTTTTTTATTAGGAGTATCTCTGCACACGATACATTAAGCGGATTCCCTACGACGTCACGACCACGGATGTTTCTCGTAGCAATTCTTCTCGGGGCCGCAAGCATGCTGATCAAAGAGCACGGTGTAACTTGTCTAATTGTAGTTGCCGCATACGATGTGATTATTCTCTGTAACAAAGGCATTACAAGGTAGGATTATTAAAGAGGAGATTTCTCAAGGCTGTAAAACTAGATTGTGTTTTGTTTTATGCCGAAGATTGAGTTCAACGTCAGATTTGAATGAAATACATCCCATGATATTTGATTCCGAATTTTATGGAACATGGCATATTAACGTGAAGTAAAACACAATAATTATGGAAAAGAAATGATGATGTTGTATTCTCTATGATCACCCCCTCTGCCCGAAGGACTTCAAAATAAATAAATTCTTTAAGAAAAATCCAATCTACTGTCTTACAAAGCACATAAAAAATGATATGAATGTATTGTTAAAGATCAGATGTGAAGCAAATTGATTTAATATTTTTTCTGTCTTCCTGGAGTTGAGATTTCCTTTGTTTATGTCTTACAATAAGTGTTATATATAATATTTCAGTATTTTTTTTCTTAAATATATTTTTTTGTCCTGTCCACTCAAATCTTACTGTACAGGAATCAATTAAGTAGACATGTGAGCATGTTTATATATATTTTTATTGATTATACCATGGGGTTTTATGACCAAGCTAACTTATTTTTTTATTCATAAATGTGATCTTATATTGTTTACCTATGGAGTTTCCTGGCAGTATCCCATTGTCTCCAACAGATATCGAAGACTCCATCTTTGGCAATGAATAATTCTGATGATAACATTGCCCCAGAGGGATATTTTGAATTCATGGATAATATCAATGCAAAGATTAAAATCTCCTGCAATTTTATAATACCATAGGTCTTTGTGATACTTCTAAATCTTAGTGGGTATGTTCCACATAATAATTATGAATAAATTAAATGCATTCACATCTCTGTTTTCTAAATGCCACTAGTACTTGGAGTTTCTTGATGCTTTTTTGTTGCAAATAGATTGTCAACGAATGATGGATTTTCTATATCCTTTGAAAGATTATAAATTGGTCACGCTATCAAAATATAAATGGTTAAATTAGGATGTTGATGACAATGTATATGTGGGCAAATCTAGCTTTAATCTGTAAGTGCTTGGAGGATTCTTAACTGATTAAACTGTTATCTCATTGGACTAGTAAAAAATGTTTTTTTTTTTTAATTTGTGTATCTTAGGATTTTTAAAAGACGATGCATTACAAGGGAATGTCTTCCTCTGGTGAAGAGGTGTGCAGCCTGCATAATCACTGTAAGATATATTTCCTCCTTATTTTGTATCATACACATAAATGATACCACTATATTTTGTTTCCATATTAAAGTTTACTGGTAATAAATGGTAATCAATTTAACCATCTGTCCAGAAATATCAAATTTTCTTTGACAAAAAAACTGTTGTATACTCATGTCATGATGTGTCTATAAATACTCATGATGTGATGTCATCATGACCATATTTAGGCATGATATGACCATATTTAGGCATGTCACATGGACAGTAACAAAATTGAATGTTCTATTTTTTTTTGTAAATTTTAATATGAATTTTTTGTGATTTATCATTATTATTATTATTATTTATTATTTAACAGTATTTTGAATGTGCATAATATTAAAGTTCTATTAAACTTATACAATATATTTCTAATAATGATAATAATCTATTCATAACACATAATATATATTCATAATTTCAGAATTCTATTTCTAAATTCTTAATCTTTAGTTGGTTTTATTTTTCATTATCAATCATTTGCGTGCCGGCGGTTTCAATTTGTTTTATCACGATCATAGCTTATGACCAAATTCCATTCTATCTTTATTATTTTCATCTTTATTTTCATAATTCATTGCACATCTTTTTTTTTCTTTGATAATAAATATTCATGATCCATTGAGAATTTTTTTCTAATTGAAACTACCAAACATTTAATGAATTTCATAAATATTCATATACATTTCTTATAGCGGCAGTGCTCACAGTTTATCATCATTATTAATTTTGACCTAAATCTCCTTTCTAATTGGCTGAGATGTAGTGGGCATTCTCATTTTCAATTAGTGTTCACCGACACTCATTGTTAGAACGTACCGATGATGATTATGCTCAACAAAACTTAACCTTGTAAAAATTGATTTAATCTACCCCATTGCTTATTCATTTTTAGCTTTATTAAACTAAATCCTGTAACCATATACCGAAAGTTGTCTCAACCTTAATCCGTCATCCTAGTTAAAGTGTTCCATAAATTTCCATTGCTGTCCTACTGCTTCTTCTTGTATGATAAATAAATATGAATCTAACCTCTTGGAATTTATTCTTGTTGCATTGAATTTTTTTTTTCTCTTGCCTTCTGTTGATATAGATTCTTCACGTTTATTCCCACATGAATTTTATTCAAAATAAGAGGTGTCTTACACCAAACTGATTTGTTTTAATGACAATCAATCTACCAAATTATCTTTTGATCCAGGTGGACAGGAAATATAAATTATCAAAGATTAATGAATGGACAAAAAAATGTCCAGCTATCAGCAATTGAGTTGTCCGAATGGCGTCAATTAGAATGAATATATTCAGAACAATTAATTTCCATCCATAGAGTACCACAGTTGTGTCGTCACGACACCAGGTGGCGCTCTGTGTTGTCAGCAGATGTTGGTTACCGTTTATCAATTAAAATTTACAAAGAAAAAGTAATAATTACGTTAGAAATTGGGATCAATGGTTTGTCAGTGGAGAAAATGGCGCTCTTTTGAACGCTTTTTGCAACAACAGCAACGGAGTAGTATTAGGCGGTATCGTGACGTGACACTAGTACTCTATATGTGCTTCTAATCTATTCCCTGTAGCAAATTTATTAGTATATCATCACAATTTTTTTTTTTCTTTTATAGTTGTGTTCTTTGTTTATATTTCGCATATGGATGATGGAGGGAAAATTGCCGCCATTTTCTGATCAAGATAATCCAGCGTCTTATGCAACAAATTGGTTGACAAGGTAAACATAGGGTCGTAATTTAAACCACATTTACCCAGGATATAATTGTTGGGAAAAATATACATTTTCCCTTTTTTCCATTTTACTGAAACTCAGTGTTGTGTTTTTATACCGGCATATCCTTCTCCATGACTCAAACAATGAATATGGCCCCAAGGTACAGTACATTAGGGAAGCTATTGTTATGTGTATGGTGCTTGGATTCCATTGGGACTCATCATAGTGGAGTAAAGTGTACTACCAAAACATCTTTTATGAGGTGCGCTAACCTAGCTTGCATTTTTAGTATTCTTATTGCAGCAACACATAGCTTAAAACCACCCTGGGGGGAAATTATGCATTTACTTTCGTCATATATTGAATCTTTACAGATATGCATCTCCAGCTTTTTCTTTTTGTCTTGTCTTGTCTTCCAGATTTAGAAAATTAATCCCTGAAGGCGTTGGATAATTGTATCAACTTTGATATAGGGGAGATACATGTATTTATGTATAAATTTTATGTTTTAGACATGTTGTGTACAGTACTATTTATTATTTTGGACTAACCACAAATTACCAGAGTAATAGTATCTACTGTATATTTAAAATTTATACAATTGTTATTGTACCATGTTACCGTTGGCAGTATTTTTTTAGACTCTTTTAGAATTAAATTTTGGGGGGTTTTTTTTGGTTATAATTATGTTCATACAATGATAGTTCAATTGTCTGGTGCTTACTTTAATGTTATTATCTTATACCATTATACTTTGTTTATTCTATATTATTATTTATATTTATTTTTTCTGTAAATGTTTAAATAATATTTGTTAAAGACTAGAAAGTATGTTTGCGGTGGTTTGGTAGTTAATTGGTTTTTCTAATCCCAAGATCTTGATTTCATATACTACTAGGGAACTTTCAGATTATAGATTCCTTCATGTTATTAAAGTTTAAACTGGTATCTTTGAATTGACTTTACTGGAACCTTGTGTGTGTCAAGTTTCAAGTTCCCCTTATTAGGAGTTACCGGTGCACAAAGTAACTGGGTCAAGTTAACACGAACTTTCAATTCTTTAGAATTGTGTATACTGCATAGAAGACACAGTAAGTAGATTAAAATCATACCTTAAATGTGTTACTAATTTGTTATTAAATTTATTTTTTCTCATACCTGTATAATCTATTTCATTTCAGATTTTTAACCTTTTCGTACTTGTGCGTTTTCAACGTGTGGTTGCTGCTGTGTCCCGTGATGCTGTCTTATGATTGGCAGATGGCCAGTATACCGCTAGTTGAAAGCCTCCTAGATGTCCGTAACCTAGCAACATTGTTTTTCTTTCTGATCTTGGTTGGACTAGCTGTTTATGCAATTTTCGTAGCAAAAGTAAGTTTTTCTTAATTTTGAATAAGAATACTTTACCTGGATAAATGTATGTCAGTTTTCTCTTTTTATCTTATGACAAATATTAAAAATTGTGTTACGTAATAGGCCGCATTTTACCTTGACACCATCATCGATCTTTGGCAAAGAGTAGGCATTAGGCATTCATCCAAGTATCTCACTTATAGACTAGTAGCATCACTGCTGATTTGTGTAATTTGTATCGCCATGGAAATATACAAACATAGAATTAGAAACAGAAAGATTTCTTTTTGTAATTTGATATTTTGAATTGACATTTTGAATAAGGGGTTTTAGTGATACAGTATATTCAAATATATTGTTGGCTTTAAATGGAGTTGGAGGGAAGCAAACCTATAAAGTTATTAAAATGCAAATAAGATCTTCTAAATAATTGAAATTGCAGCAGCCTATGATCATTATTCAGAGTTTGGAATTACTACTAATTTTATTAAAGAAATCATTATAAACTGCAATTACTTCGTACAAATATCATTTTAAAAAACACAGTATCTTATTATTTATACGGTAAAGCTAATAATTTGCAAACAAATATTCATATTTTGCTCATTTAACACATTTGAAGATGAAAAATAACTAGAAATGGATGAAACACGCTTTTTGTAATAACATATATCAGTGCTGTTTGCCTATATTTAGTTTCTACTTGGTTTCAGTTGTAAAGTTGAAAGTTACAAGTGAGAAATTTGGTTGAAAATTGAAAATGTACGTATTCCATCGACACTTGTGCAAAAATCCAAGTCACACTGTGATAATCTCAATCATATGATTGAGAGAAAAAGTGACAAAATTCTTTTTTTTTGTCACACTGCCATGAAACTAACATGCTGACTCAGAACCAGTAATTAAAATAACATTGTGGAAATCTCATTTTAATAAGCGGCTAGAAGCGCCACTTAAACTTAAGTGTGATTTCAACTTGGTAACATAACTGATAATGACCTCTGAAAAAACACTGAATCTGAATGTCAAACTGTAGAAGATGTTTGCAATTGGATCTCTAAAAAGTTATTAAATACACTATGCATGATGAGAAACCTCCTTTTAAAAAACTTTTATTTTTGAAATTTGTTATTAATAAAAACATCATTGTGATCAAAGATTTTTAGTAAATTTTAAGATAAGAAGTAGGGAAAATTTACTTACAAGCTATTGTATGTTTATTGGACTCAATTTATGTTGAAAAATATGTATAAACGTATGATTTGATCTTTCTAACAACTTGCATCTATGCTATTTCCGTATATAATCTGATTTCAGTTGTCAAATGACAGTTACTGTATGGGAGTTGTTGAAAATTCAAAATATTCAAAATTAATATTCCATTGACACTTCACCATAACAATTTCACTCATTATAATCCTTAATTTTAGAGAGAAAAGTGGCAAATTTTTTTTTTCCACATTGCATTTAGAGTAATAGTCAGCATGCTCACTTAAGACCCGTTAATTAGAATAACCATGTGGAAATGTGTTATAAACTTGTTATAATAAGTAGCTAGAAGCGACGATTAAACATGAGTGGTCATGTGACTTCATATACTACGTGTTAATGACCTTTGAAATGAAATAGTTTGTAGTTTAAGCTTTTGAATATCAGAATATTAAAAATGTTTACATGAATATTTTGAAGATTTAAATATCTCAATGATACATAAAAATTCACTTGTAAAAAAGTGTACAGTGTACAAAAAAGCTTGTTAATATTTAAACTAGTACATATTTTGCTTATACTTTATATCTCAATAAATAATTGGATTAAAATTATAGGTTACTACTTATGGCTCTCACCTAACCCTAGGATCATTATTTGTTCGATCTGGAAATATCCAAGAATTTTCTCAAACGAAAAATATGTTAGAAGCACAAATTATTCTTTTTATAAATATGAACAAATTTTCAGAATATTAACATAAAAATAAACACTTCAAAACCTAATTGTTTTAGAATAGCAATTGAATTTTACCCATTCTGAATCATATGCATCTTGTTGGTAGTTACAGTTAAATACAAATAGCTTAAATATATGCTAATTGTTACTTCTAGCAAAATCAAGAACATCAATTGTATGTTGGCATGACAACAATGTTTTGTATGGGGAAGATGAGCTTTGTATGACAAGCATTTGCCAAAGGCAAAGGACTAATATTTTATGACAGAAGACAGGAATGCTGTGAATTAATTTGATATAATCAGCAAAAGTTACAGTATATAATATAATGTTTATCTTAAAGCATGGGCCTATTGATAAGCTTGAAGTATGCTTTGTGGTATGATAATTTTTTATTTATTTTTTTTAATTTTGATGTTTTTTAACTACACATAACTTAATATTATATTGATGTGTCTCTAGCCTGAGTTTTATGCTAATTAATATCAATATAGAATATTCAAAATGGGATATTGTAGGTTGGAGAATACTTGCACAATCTGAACCTCCTCTGGGGTTCGAAATCTGGGACTTGTCGCTTACAAAGTGAATGCCATAAAGACCACGAGTGATGTCTGCAGTTTACATCTTATAATGATGATTTTATACTGAAGTCTTTATGCGCTTATGTTTACTCTGGTTTTTGGATACAGTGTGGATCATACCAATGTCCAACTGTCTCTAGTATACCTGGAAAGTATAGACTTTTATATTCTTCAACTCAGACTAATCACATGTCTAAACTAGAGCAGGTAATTGGTAGAGTACATGCCTCCACATCATATGCTAATCCATACGTTAGTTTACGCATAATCTTGCTAGTAGACAAGCGGCGGTGACTAAATATCCACTGTGGCGGAGGTAATTATTCATACCCCACTAGGTACCAATTTATACTCATGAGCGTAGAGAGACAAACGTAGATAAAGTATCTTGCCCAAAGAAATAAGCACTTGTGATCATCATCAGGCTTAAACTAGCGGTAATCAGACTTAAACTAACGATGACACGGTTGGCAAAGCCCTAAGCATTACCAATGAGCCACATGCATCTTCAATTTTCATCGTATTCACTTAACTAATATTCTGTTTGGTGTATATTGCATGATTTCCAGTCTGTATTTTCTATTAGAAATAATATGATGATGGTTTAAAAAAAAAATTAAATTTATAATCACAGAATGATATTCTGCTCAAAGCTTTGAGGTGTTCAGTTGGTACTGAAGTATCTTGGTTCTGTCATATTTTGTGAATTTTAAATTTGGTGGTATTTTTTTTTCTTTATGTCATGTTAAAATATAAAATACTAGTCATATAAGTAGATATAATCTTATTTATTTTGTCATTTTATATTGTTTATCTGTATATGAACTTTACAATTAGAATTTATCTTTATCTTGTGGTTTTAGGGTCTGTCCCAACGAGCTGTCTTGATGGGGCTAGTGGTCCTTGCAATTCCTTTCCTCCCAGCATCCAACTTGTTTTTTAGGGTTGGATTTGTCATAGCAGAAAGGATTCTTTATATACCAAGGTAAAATTATTGTATTTATGAGAATATTGTGTTTATCATTACCATCATCATTGCCATTACCATCTTTATTATGATTATCATTTTCATCATCTTATTTTCTATCATTATCATCATTGCCAACATCATCTTCATATTCCTCCTCGCTGTCTTTATCCTTTATTATCATCATTTACATCATGCCTACCAGTAGTTTTTTAAAAATAATATATTACTGTTGTGTAGAATCAACAACAATGGTTATGATTAAAGTGATAATAGCAATGATGATTTATATTTTCATAGCAATAAAAAAAAAGTGAAGCCTAAGTTATTTATTCAAATGCTTACTGTCAAACACCAATATCATTGTGACATAGTACTCCTTTTAACATACTAAGAATATTAGTGATAGCCTGAGAGGAAACAGGATAACATAAAGGGATCATCCATTATGTCCCCATATTTTTGAGAGTAAAAATAAATATTTAAAGAAGAGTAAAAAATGAAGCAATGTAGATTTCAAAATAATAAAGGCGCTTCTGTAAAATTAATTAATTCGTTCTTGTACAATCGATATTCTTTGATTGTTGACAGTCCTGTCACTGTTATTTCTCACAGATTTTTTCCTTTTCTTCTGCGTAGGTTTGCCAGATGCAGTGCACTTAAGTTTTCCTTTTTAATTCTGCCCCTGCAATCTAGAACGAGCTTCTACTTGAAATTTGGCTCAACAGCAATTTTGAGTCCTTTTCAAAATCCATTTTTAGTTGTGTCTGATTAATCGTTAATTACTGTACTCTTCCTTTAATTGTGCTGTCTTTTGTCTCTGTTTTTTACATGTGTTTGCAAAACATGAGAGAAACAACTAATAAAAATCATTTATAATGTACTGTGTGGTGTGGGGGTGAGGGATGTGGAAGGTCACTGCACAAAAAGGAGTATACTATTCTCTTTGAAATGATAAAAAGTGGATGAACCCTAATAGAATAAGATATTTAGGTCAATTTGCATTTAGTTCATAAAAAAAGTAATTTTGTGTCAGATTGTAATAAACCAAAATGTAGCTAGGTGTCTATTCACCTAATGTAATTATTTATAAATCTCATAGCTCACATCATTTGAACTTTGTACAATAGCAGTGCAGGATAATTGTCCCAATCAACAAAATAGATGAGAGTTCTCACCACAAAGCCTTTAGGAGCCATTTTAATTCCGTCAACCTACATTCAAAAACACCTCATCCATCCCAGGAGATCTTGCCAAGTGATGATGCCTGCAAATGTCATGGGTGTGGAGACTAGATTTAACAGCTGCCAGGTGTATGGATCTGCAAGACTAGGCATCGTAATAGGCACAACAGTATAAAATTGCATATGTACTTCCATTTGGTGTCACCCAATACAATCCAATTATTTACTATATTATTATGAATAAATTCAACTCCGTATCTCTATTGTAAATAATTACTGGATCAACCGACTATCGCCTAAGTTTTCTTGCCCTTTCATTCAATCTGACTTACTTTGTAATTTTACATTCTTTTGAATGCTAATGTTTGTGCTAAAGTTCATTCTCATAATTTCTGTTGAAATGGTCACTGACTCATTGATTGTTTGTGAAGCAGCATTTTTCCACATAAAGATCATCGTTATCATCCTCATAATTAATCATCGTCATCATCTTCATCATTATCACCTTATCAACATCATATTTATCATCATCATCAACATAGTGACATTTTTCTTATCTTCCTCATCATCATCAACATTATTTTAGCGATTATCATCTTTATTACTTCCTTTATTTTTAGCATGGGTTACTGTATTCTTCTTGTTCATGGTTTGTGGAACATGTGCAATAAAGTAGGCAAACCATTAGCTAGTGCAATCACCTTTTCCGTCCTTTTATTGGTTGCCATGTTCGCTTGGAGAACGGTTGTCAGAAATTCAGTTTGGCAGTCAAGAGAATCATTATTCAGGTAAGAAATATTAAACAGGTAACATAAAGTTGAATTGGTTAAAATCGTGAACAAAAAAAGATAATTAAAAATCACATAATGATGTGTCAACTACAAAAACATACTCCTTCTTTTGGTCCCTTCATGTAATAATTCGCACAAATAAATTAAAATAATAACTGTTTTGCTTTTGTGACCATCATTTATTATTTTTCCCCTTTCATATGCGGCAATCCAGACTTTCAACGTTGGCAGCGCTGTTTTGCGATAAAATGGTCTGTAGGCCTATATGTAAAAAAAAAAAAAACTAAAAAAAAAAAAACTTAATGAATGCAGTGACTCAGGATTGAACAGAAGACACACACTTTTCAGGAATGCTATTGCCAGGACAACCAAACTCTATTTTAATATTTGTTTTTTTGATTCCTCAGGTCTGGAGTTGAGATCTTACCACAAAATGCAAAGGCTCATTACAACTATGCTAATTACCTTAAAGATGTGCACAGGACTGAAGAAGCCATTCACCACTACAAAAAGACACTTAAGTAAGTACTTCATTAGATAAACATATATAAGCAATGTCTTAGGATTGATGCCCCAGTGTTTTAATCACTAGGATGTTTCCATTTTATTTCATCAAGCTATTTCAAAACCCTCCTCCAGCATTTTCCATCTTTTTCTGTCCATTTCCGCTCTTGCCAAGTTTGTTGTTCCCAGTGATATCATCTCTCCCCCCCTTTTTTTTTTATTCCTTTCTTCCTTTTCCCATTTCTTGGTTGCCATTTTTTAAATCTATATCTGTTGCATATGCTGGCATTTTTAAATTAGTATTAAAATTGGGAACTTGTGCTCTAAATCTAAATAGCTTTACCACTTCATCGCCACACATATCTAATTTACTACAAATACTTTCTGACTTTACAGCAAAAGCTTAAAATAGAACCTCTTTAAGGTATCGGCAAACAGCCATAATCATGTCACATATGGTCTAAGAAACAGCAAAGTCATTATCGTATTCATTTCTTGTGTTGAGTAGATTTTCTGTAACCTAGTCGTATTTAACAGTGCCAATAAGCTCTTTATTTATAACTTAAATCTCAGTTTTCTTTTAATCGTGAGGCAATTATTGCTAATGGTGATGATAGTGGTGTCGGTGATAATACGTAGGTGTTTATTGTGACGATGAAAGGAACAATGTGCATGATAACGGTGTTGACGATGACAAAGATAATGAGGATGAATGACAGTGATGGAGGTTGAGAATGTAGGTTTCCGGCTGAAGGACAGAAGAAGATGATGATAATGATGAAGTAGAATGTAGAATGCTAAAGAAGTAATGTGGTCTAATTCTATGCCTCGCTAGCCAAGCTGAAATCTGATAGTAATTATTATTATTTTCAGGTTGTATTACAATGTTAGAACTATATAAGTTTCATTTTGTAATATCATTAAATGATATTTTTGATAGTGAATGTTGGTTCCAAGAAAACAAATGGTACCACTAAGTTCACATTCAGATATTATTTGTTGTCATAAGTCATGTTGTCATGAAATACCATTGCCACAAGATGGTGATTATGAAGTCGGTGATGTACCAATTGTGACAAGGATGATGATGAAAATGTGATGAGAATGATGATGAAAATTGGATGAGAATGATGAGGCAAATGTGATGAGGATAATGATGAAAATGTGATAAAGATGATGAAAATGTGATGATGAGGATGATGATAAAAATGTGATGAGGATGATGATGAAAATGTGATGAGGATGATGATGAAAATGTGATGAGGATGATGATGAAAATGTGATGAGGATGATGATGAAAATGTGATGAGGATGATGATGAAAATGTGATGAGGATGATGATGAAAATGTGATAAGGATGATGATGAAAATGTGATGAGGATGATGATGAAAATGTGATAAGGATGATGATGAAAATGTGATAAGGATGATGATGAAAATGTGATGATGATGATGAAAATGTGATGAGGATGATGATGAAAATGTGATGAGGATGATGATGAAAATGTGATAAGGATGATGATGAAAATGTGATGAGGATGATGATGAAAATGTTTTTAGGATAATGATGATGGTGATGATAAGGACAACTTTTAAATATGGTAATTAATTGATGATAATGATTAGAATATTGATTGGAATGACAATAATGTCAATTATTTCAAAATATATGGAAGTGATAAAATACCATACACTTGTAGTATAAACACAGTGATCAGTTATCTCTGACACATTGTTCTACAATGAATGGAACAATCCATTTTATTTATTTATCTAAATATTATACCATACTATTATTATCTGTTTCATCTTTAGATTATATCCAAATCATGCGAGTGCAAGTAACAACCTTGGTACATTGCTAATAACCGAGAAACCAGATGTTGCGAAAGCACTATTCAACAATGCCATTGCTAATAACCCGCAACATGCAAGGGCTCACTTTAACTTGGCCAACGTCCTCAGGTAATAATAGATTTTTAATGAAATTAGTTAAGTATTCAGTTTCCTGTTAAAATTAATTACCAGATGGTGTTAGATTTCTAACCATGTAGCTCTATATATAAATAAATTTTCATTATAGGTATAATGGAAATTGGTTAATTTCAATATATCACTAAATATTGTAAATGTATATGTATTTGAAAGAAAGTTAATTATCTATCTGAATCTGATTGCCATTATTATAATTACAATGAATATAGTTTTTTTAGCTATAAATCTAATATCAGTCTAACTACTCTAATATAATATTTACTTAATTAATATTCTTATCCCTTAAAGAGATCAGAAGATATACGACAAGGCTGAAGCTGCTTACCGGGAAAGTATTCGGATCAACTCAGATTTCAGCGATGCCCATATCAATCTTGGCACATTGCTACTTGATTTAGGGCGCCCACAAGAGGCTCGTCAACATTATTTAAAGTCTGTCACTTTGTCTCCTGATAATGCAGACACTTTCAATAACTACGGCTCCTTCCTGTCTCGTATAGGTAAGGAGAATTGGTAATTTGGAAAGAGTTAAGCCTAGAATGAGTCTGGATAGAAAAGTATGTAGTAGGCCCTACCAAGGGGGTAGCACTCAATTGGCCGTAAATTTGTGTGTACTACTTTCTTTAATGTGCATAAGGGACTATAACTTATGTTTAACACCAAGAGGAGCTTGATGGACACATGGTTGAGGGCAGTAATTACCATCAGTTTTAACCAATACACTCTGCTACTCACTTTAAGCCTAAGTAAGCATATAGGCTAGTAATGATTCTATAGGCCTAAAATGAGATGAGTCCCTGTTCATTTGATTTCAGTGTTTATCAGTTTTGTGGTCCATCAAAATAGTTCTTTCATATCCTGTTCTCACTGTTGCATGTAAAGTGCATCCTACCTGTCAACGATAGCAATTAAGTTCATATTCAAGCGACTTAGGGATGAGTTATTTTAATCTGATCCAAAAGAAGCTATAATGCCAGGTTAGGTGAGAACCACTTTAAGGCTCTCGTAATTTGCATATCTAGGACTAAGATGCAATTGATACGATTCTGGCAATGAAATGAATGATATTACAAGAAACAATTTTCTTATTATATGAGAGGCTATATATGAATTTGCATGGTACATCAAAAGTATGCCTCAGGGATTTCATATCACAGTATATTAGTTCAAGTTTATAAAATGTCAGTGTTATTAATGTAGTAAAAACCTAGGATTATATTTCCAAATTGGTTCTTTTATTACTAATAATGGTTATTTCTTATGTGCTATACTTTTTCTGTGATAAAAGGAGTACCATTATAATATTTCTTTTCAATGTTTTCTTACTATTAAAATACTTGTACTAGATATACACTTTGTAGAATATCTGTGTACTACTTTGTGTATGTTCGTAAACCACTATATTACACAATAAACAGGATGTGTTGATCATTACTAGAATGACAAAATGACCATGAGATACATGTCCCCTCATTTTGTGCTATCCCTGTTTGCTTCGTCCTATATATTTAGTCCCCTGTACAACAGGCAAATACATGACACATTGCATACCTAGTGCTAGGTATATACTGTTTGACGTGTGTATAGGTTGTCTGCTGGCTGCCTTCAGAATGGCTCAAATACTTGTAGATGGTTGTCGATTGCTGACCATTTTGTTTATTTTTCTCTACAGATGAGTGGAAGGAAGCTGTTGTCCAGTATAGGCACTGCCTGTCTCTACAGCCAAGCCATACTGTTGCCATGGTGAATTTAGCAAGGGCTTTACGCAAGCTTGGACATACTGAAGAAGTTGAAGAATTATACAAAAGGTATTACAGTATTGCACATCCTACATATCATATTATAATGGAAAAAATCTAATATTAAAATATTAATTTATGTAAAATAACTTCAATTTATTACAGTATTGCATTATTGTACAATATATTTTTTTTTGTAAATTGTTAGCATCAGTTTTGAACATTCATCCTTGTTTATTACTCTTAACAATATAAGTGTCTTTATTCATATTTAACTTGCTAGATTTTTCAGTCTCTCTTTAAATAAATTACAATACAAATATAAGAAAATATTGTTACAATTTTTCTGATATCTTTATTTTCAGTTAGCATCTGTTGCTTTATATCCCATGATACCACGATGCATCATGTTTTCCTGTTTCTATTTCTAGCATGTTTTCCTGTTTCTATTTCTAGTGAGTTCTGTGACACTTTCACCACCTGGCCTCAATCTAAAGTAGCCATAGGCTCCGATCTTAACTCTGTGGTGTAACCCTATAACTAACTAACTGCACTAAAGCGCTTCTCTACACATCTTTTAACCATAAGTTTATGTTACAATGTCATTTCGAATCCCATTGAGTACTTTAGTGGGAATTAGTCCCATTACAAACTGTCAGTTGTGTAAATGTTGATTTATCAATTTAATGTTTCTAATTTACAATAACATCAGGTTTTATTTCCCTTTGCATTGCGGCATCTGATAGAAACATTTTTACATGCAATTTTGGCTGTATGCTTAATATTATAATAAAAACATGTGTTGTACTATGTTATTAATATCTTGATCAAATGGCATTTCTTCTTGGTCATAGTTGAAGTTTATTATGCAAATTGGCAGCAGGCAAGCAGGTCTATAAGTATGTGTCGTACATATTCATGTTTACAGAACATTTTTGTGGATGCCTGTGACGTAGTGGTAGGGCTCCCTGCTTCCAATCAGAAGACAGTTGTTCGAGTCTTAAATTTGCCACTAGCTTGTGTCCTTTGGTGATGATTCTATCCATGAATGGAGGTTATAATTATTACATAATCACATTTAATTTTATGACTACTTATTACATAGTCACATATAATTTTATGACTAATTATTACATAATTGCATATAATTACACAAAGATTTTTATCGCTATGGAAACTTGTTTCTCTCTCCTTCAGAGTTTTGAGTATTAACAGTGATACTGAAGTTATGAAATCTCTTGGTGCCTTGTACTTCAACACAGAGCGCCCTCTGGAGGCTAAAGCATTGTATGAAACAGCTATACGTATTGAGCCAGAAAGTAAAGAAATAAAAACTCAATATGTAAGTAGACATAGCATAATAGTTTCCATTGAGGTCTTTTTTTTAATTTTTTATTTGACAGCTTTTATGTGAAGTATGGTATTTGTATATAGTTACGGTAATTTTATTTTTAAGATGCTTGAATTCAATCTGCGCCAGTGGTTTCGAAGTGCAGCACTTTATAGGGTTGAGATGCTCAATTTCCAATCTCAGGAGTTTGTTGCAAACACTGCCAGGGCTCTTTAATTATATCTAAACAATTCTACTGCTTATCTCTATTGATGTCTCTTGTTTATAAGAAATTGAGGACCCAACATTATTATTATCATTACCTTTGATGGATAGTAATAATTAATGTTTATATTATTCTACTGTACATTTATAGAAAGCCAAAATATTTATAATTATGGTTATCGTCATTATATAATCCCAACAGGCTCAGGTGATAGCTAAACTTGGAAACATGAGCCAAGCTATAACCATCTTAAAGGAAGTGCTTGGGCGACATCCCAACTACAGTGATGCGCACCAGCAAATCTCTAGTATCTACGGCATCACAGGAAGTCACCAGGAGGTTAGTAGGATCATTCTGCATATTATAATTCTCTGGGTTCAAATCTAGAAGTGTTCTCATCACTGAAGCTCATATGCCTCATAATAGTTTAAATAGTTTATATAACTAGAAATTGCAAGTGAAGTGCTGCGAAGTGCAACTGCATATAAATGTTCTTCGAACAAAATTATTTATGCGAGTCAAGTGAAATTAATGAATAATAAAAATATTACAAATAATATGAGACGCGACCCATTGTCTATATTAGAACACTTCTCATTGGGTAACAAAGTCGTAATTTTTCATTTTTGTCAAAAAGTGTCTATAGTGGCGAATTATGGTTTAGGTTTTTTTTAATAAAATTTCAAAAATTTCTATGTATGTGGAAAATGTAGTTGATTACCAAAGGTTACAATTTTTATTTTGAAGACTGCATGGTCTAGGAAGTGTACATTTTTTTATGGGGCAAGTTTCCAAGGGCGGGTTTTCTAGGGGTGAGTTGACTGCCAAAGAGTGTTGCCAAAGTGTGAGCCAGCGTGTTATTTGAAGTGCGAGACATCGCAAGTGTGAGCCAGCGAGCCATGACGTCATGACAATAGATACGAGACGTTACTCAAGTTGTGCGAGGTATCGGCTAAGATTTGTGGAGTACAGTTCAAAAAACAACTATAGGTCTAATAATGAATTATTGTGATGTTAAATAGACAATGTTAGCTATCAAGGAACGACGTTGTTTTTCATTGGGAACTTTGTCCCTTCAAGGCTAGGCCTATACCATCCTAGCTAGTCTAGGCCTAGAGTAGGATAAGGCTAGCGCGACATGCGGACGTTGGTTCGTGTTGGTTAGTCTACAAACATCGCCTAAAGTAATTGAATTTACCCGGCAGAACGAAAGAAGGAAAATTCGCTTTCCAGTCGTCTTAGATCCTTGTTTTTTGACAAACAATGACCTTTCAGAGGTCAAACTGCTGTCAAGAATATGAATTGGCTGCTTCGCAGCAAATATTGTGGTTGTTACATAAATAAAATATATTAAATAATTGCAGTACACCACATAGATAGTTCTGAATAGAAATTTTGTTTTTGTTGAGAATGTCTCAACGTTTCGATTGAATTGCTTCAATCGCCATCAGGAGAATAATATCTGATAACGTTTGAAGCAACTCTATTGAGACGTTGAGACATTCTCAACAAAATACAACAGTTCTATTCTGAATTATCTACGTGGTATACCGCAAGAATGTAATATTACTACACCATGCAAACCTTCGAAAAAATACATAAATATTAATAAGACCAAATAACAAAAAATACTTGATTCCTGTCCTACATCATTTTTACACATCTGCATAAAATTTTTTATTTGTTTTTGTCAAAAGTGTTTAACTTGTATTTTTATACTTTTTGTTGCCAGGCCTTAGTACACATCAATGCTGCATTGAACCTAAAGCCGGACCTGGAGGACTTAACAAAGAGTAAACTTCTCTTTGAACGTGGAAATCATTACAGGGACTTGGACAAGAGAGAGGAAGCTTTAATGGTAAATACAGTGTGTATGTTAGACAGCGTAGAAGCGGTTGGCACATCGGTTGTGGCTGGGACTCCCGACCTTGAGGTCAGGGGTTGGTTTGGAACTCTCACTGTGCAAGTCGCTTGTGTCCTTGGGCAAGGCACTTTATCTACGTTGTCTCTCTCTACCCAGGAGTATAAATGGGTACCCGGTACACAATACCAAGGCTTAGTACGATTAGCTAACAGCTTATTCCCCTACATTCAGTAATGAATATGGGACTACTTTTTTTTGTTAGACAGCAGAATGTCTCAAATGTTTATAATGTGTAGTAATGTAGCAGCATTGTATGAATCAAATATTACTGTAGTTTATGCTAGTCACTGTGTGTGCTCTGAACACAGTAGTTTTGCAAGCAAACTTATATAAATATAAGTCACTGTGTTTGTATTAGTGGGTTAGTCTAGATGGATGTGTGTGTGTCTCCCTGTGCTTCATGATATTTATTCTTATTTCCCATTATCTGCTTTTTGTGCAAATTTATATTTTTATAATTACAGTCATCAAACTGTTTTATAAATTTAATAATTAATACATTTCATATTTTTATTTTCCCCTCAGAGTTACAAAGCAGCTGTTGAGTTGAATCCTAAAAATAGCATCGCACAAATGAACCTCGGGGCAATGTACCACATGACGGTTAGTACAAACTTACTGCTCTACGAATAGTTTATTAGCAGTGGTCAGACAATAAACTTCCATGTAAATTTCTTACTTTGTATATTTATGAAGTTAGTAGTTTATAATTAAATATTCGTAAGACAACATGCCATTTTCACATATTACGTGGTGTATTCCTTGACAAAAAAATTATTGACTTTTTACTTTAAAAAACCTGTAAAGCAACAAAAACTAACTTGTCTCATTTTGAATTAGTATTTGAATTGAATGCTTTGAATTAAATTTTTGTCGTTTTTACAAATTTTACTACAGAAGTAAGATATTTCTTGTTTTTTTTTATTACTTATTAAATAAATCAACTCCATACACTTTATTCACAATAACCTTTGCTTAATTTTCTATAATTATTCGTTTTGTAGAGGGATTATAAGTCGGCTCGAACACATTATGAAGCAGCATATGAACTAGACCCAACCAATGATATTCTGCAGCAGAATATAAAGAAGTTAGAAAGAAGAGAATTAGCACTTAAGAAGAAACAACAGAACCAGGGCTCTGTATGAGGGCAGTATAGCTGACATCATAGTGCTTGACATTTTGTACTCCAAATCCATCCTCTTTTCAACTTCCTCCAAGTGTCATTAGAGACACATCTTTTGAGATAATGCATATAGCTTTTATTGCAGAGTTATAGAGTTTAATTTTTTATAGTATCATATTTTACAAGAGTGTCTATCAAGTGGAATGGGTTGTTTTGCCCGCACAATCCATTGCACAGACGTGTGTAGCAACAGGTTGCTTGTAGTTGCATGTAAAAACCATCATGCATAAGCTTACTCCTCAATTGTTTATAGATACTGTAACCACCTTACTTCTTCTCCTTGATCTAGATCCATAGGTGGCGACGTAAGAAAATGTCTGTGTAGAGCCACAGGAGAGGGAACAGTGGCCATGGTCTAGATTGTTGTTGTTGATTGATGTGTCTTTGTTTAAACGGGAATTAACATTTTAGTTGTGAGCAAAATGTTGGGATGTATAGGGATTAAACACAAGAACTCAAAGTTGACATAGTAAGCACTTATTACATCATAAGTCATTGTAAAGTCTTTATTAATAATATTTTTTACACCCGTATTTATCACAATTCTACTCCTATTGGTATTCTCTTCCATTTGCCAGTGAAGAAAATATATCAGGTCTCTTTTAGCAGTAATTGTCATGACTGTTTTATATAGCAGATAACTAGGCACATTTGGGTTTGAAAGACAGCAAGTCTTTACACCCAACGCATATTGAGTATTATGTGGAATATAAGAGGAGATAAAATGGGCATTAAAAGCAGCCTACAATATTTTAAACTAAGTTATTATTAAAATCAGTTTTATTCATGTATAATGTGCTTCAGTGGTTTTAGTCATTAGTTGTCCATTATTTATAGCATTTGTATATCTATTTATGTTTACATATTTATATCTTCTAGAATTTTATTGTCCTGTTAGCAGCTTTATTTTTAAAATTCTATTTTATATATATTCCTACAAAAATTTTGGTAATGAGCTATCATTTTATGTTTAAGTTTTATTTCTTATCATGTGTTATATGAATGAATTATTGTTTTATGAATGAATTTATCTTTCTATGAAATTAAGTTTATTTATAATTTAACATGGAATTTCACCTTGCCTATAATTTGATGAAAGCCATTTCTGAAAATTGTTTTTAAAATATGAAATAAATATGTGTGTCTACTTTACCCAGAGTATGTGGTAATATTAGCAGCTTGGGTTTGATAATGTAATGCACTCGAATATATAATTTGTTTAGTCATAAGTTAAGTCAAATGTAAAATTATGTAAAAAGTATACAAAATGTATAAAGTTTTTGTGATTCATATTGTGGTTTTTTTGTCTGATCAGCAATGATATTTTGATATTCTTGACCAAATAGGAGGTACAGCCGACATCTCATATCTAATTCTAATTGCCTTTTATAATAGTGAATTTAACAGCTTGTGTTAAATAATTAAGATATGGATAGTAGAACGAGGGCGATATTTACCTGCTTGCTTCAATGATTCAGTGCAATACAAATTCTTGATAGTTTTGGCTTGGAAATCACAATTGTTTTCAACATTTTAAATAAATGGAACCTTGATGAGTTTAAATTCTTGATATTTTTTGAAAATATACCTTACTACAAGCTTTTAACCCGCAATATTGCAATTTTTCTAAATTTATGAAACTTATTTATACTGTATTCCTCTTCTCCACTTGCAAAAGCTTTGTTGTATATTTATTTTGTCTCAAGCAGAGTATTTTATATTTAAATGTATTTGATTTATATTGTTTTATCAGGGAAGAGTTCCCTGGTTTTATTGAAAGAAAAATCAATTTTAGGAAATACAATTCCCTCTAATTCAAGACCACATTGGGACCTGAAAATTTGGGGTGGTCTTGTGGTTCAGTTTCCACTAAAATGGTTAGCTTTGTGTTAAAGGATAGAAGATTTTTATTTGGTTGTATGAAAAAGTGGTCTTGAATTAGAGGGGTCTTGGATTGGAATGTGCACTGTAGTTAAATTTCCACTTTGTATGCGATGCTATTGAGAATGATTTGTTACTGATCTAGTTTAATTTTGCTGTGCCCTTGTTTCCTGTTTGCATCAAATTTGTCCTGGTAAATATTTGTTTGGAAATGTATTAAGACATAAAATAATGAAATATGAAATGACAATATAAATAAATAATGAAATAAAAAAAATGAAATGTAATTTTGAGATGATGTTTACTCTTTTATCTGTTAAAAATGTAATCCTCCTGTGCTGATATTTTGATTTTCTACTAACATGTTGACTACAGCCTCACTGATATCAAGATTTGCCCTCTGACCCTGAAAATCGAATCATCCCAGTTCAACATACAGTATTTACACTGTTAATTGTTATGCATGACATCATTTTCACATTTAATATTTTATCATATTTGGCAAACAATAAAGTTAGTGAATGAATAAGATATTGATAAATTAGTACTGATACCAGAGATTGCCAAATAATTAGATTATAAAGCACAGTTTCACACTGTAGATTTTATGAAGACATGATGTTTGGTGCATACAACAATCATTGTATATATATATGAATATAGATTGTACAATTTTTGAATGACAAATTGAATGGAGAATTATTTGAGTTTGATATTTTTATATTTAATCAGTGCATAGACAGCAAGCTTTGTAATTTTGTATATTTGTTACTTAAATACTTTCTGAGGCCTTGGTTATTAATGTTCTTATACATAACTATTCTATAACATAACACAGTAATTGGAACATACGTCTATCACACATACTTAGCTCCCTGTGTTAGTATTACAGAGGCAGATTCCAGGTGGGGGAAGCTGGCTCAGTTAACCCGCACCCAACGTTTTGGGAAATTAAAAAAGGGGGAAATTAATGTTTATTCAAATTAATGTTTGAGAGTGCCTTTTCAGCCATCTAGAGGTGTCATAGACATACAATTTCATACCTCATACTGACCATGATGGGGCTGAGGTTTTTTGGACCCTCCATTGGTAAAATTCCCTGCCTTGTCCCCCCTCTGTTTCGAATTCTGGATCCACCACTGTAGTTTGTAATCAGTCTATTGACATGTAATTCTAATAGGTTCTTGCTTTTAATTATGTAGTGCCTTGCCCAAGAAAACAAGCTGGCCAGCTTGAGATTCAAACTCAGTCTCTTGGTTGAAAGGTCAAAGCCTTACCACTGTGCCACATGTTGATTTGTTAAGTTATTTAATTGTTTTGTAAAATTGTGTTTTTATTTTGTAAAATTCAATGTAGTAAAGACTATTTTTTAAATTTTTATCATGTTCATTAATTATGAAGAGTTAATTCTATTCTTGATTTAAAAGCCTCAAAAGTATGAGGATTAGAATGATTTATTATTTAAAATTAATTAGTTTTATCGATCAGTAATATTGTATTGTATTTTATTTACATATTTATTAATTTGTAAATGTTTTCTGTGTAAGTATCAATGATAATAGGTATTTTATTACTGTTACTATTCAACCCTAACATACAGTATTAACATTATCATTCATGGTTAACATTACCATCATCATCGTCATCCTTATCAGCATTATTATTGTCATTATCATCGTCATTATCATCATTATCATTACTGTCATTCATCCTTTGGAAACGTTTAAAAGAAGTAAACATCCTTCATATTATTTTGACTAGTATACATATTTAAATATTATTTATATTAATAATAATTTTTTATATTTTATTAATTTATTAACAGTAAGCAATATGTGCTATTTTCAAGTTGATATTTAAATTACCTTTACCTTTGGCAATGTTATTCATTATATGTGATAATCTGATACATTTATTTTGAAAACGAGCAACAGTCCTGTTAGGTTGGTGCTTTATATACATACAGTATTGAGTATTTACATGGTGTGGTATTTTGAAGTTAGTATTTTAATTTCAGCATTAAGGTGCCTGTAAATCTGCAGAGGCTAGAGTGTATAATAGTCATCTTAATTAAAGCTTGCAAATAGAATTGGAATAATACTTACCCTTTCTCGCAAAAGAGTCAATAAATCAAATATGCATTTCTAATTTGTCTGCGTGTATTTCTTCATTTGGATTAACATGTTCAGATAAATAAAATGATAATGTGGCCATCTCACTATTTTGAAGTATACATTTGTGCAGCTTTTTCTTTAGGATACATGAAGTTTCATCACCAGGGGTGGATCCAGAGATGTCCAAAAGGGGGGGGGGGCGAAATTTGGGCCGATCGAGACAACAATGCCCCCACGAAAATGTTGTGTTCTAGACGCCCGAAAATAACATTTGAGGCGTTGTAGGCTATCATTTTTTTCCCTTTTGCTTTCTTCTTTCCTTTTTTCCCCTTTTTTTTTACCTTCCAAAAGGGGGCGGGGCCGGGCCGCCCCCCCCCCCCAGACAGTTCCTGATCACTCCACTAAGCTCATACTCATACTAATAACCCACCCCCACAAAAATTGACATACTCTACTGAAAATCAACTTACAAAGTAGATTCTCACGTAATATAGCAAAATCTTATTTTCTTTTGAGTTGTTCTATCGAGTTTCCAATCGTTAGGGGCCTCAGCACACTTAACCAACGAAATTTGTTTACATGATTTTATTTCTTTATTTTAACGTACATTTTTGTTACAGTGGCACTCATCGACTGACGGCGGTGCGTTCAAAGACAATAACAAATATTACAAACTAAAAGTTACAATTAATTTAATACCAAAGAGCAAATTTTTCTGTAAGATTCGAAAGAAACTTCTTCCATAACTATCATAAGACAGTTTAACACGATTTCGAATAGTGTAATTAAGTCATATGAATTGAAAAAAAATAACACAATAGGCCTACATTCACACATACAAAGCAGATACAGCTCAGTAATGCAGCACATACATTCCATATAAATATACATACCTACACATACACAAAATACATAGGCCTACTGTTATCCCATCACACACACCTACAAGGAAAATTACGAGATCAACGGAGCGGTTCGTGAGCAATTTACTGTCAATATCAAGTATCGTTGTTATCCTGTGCCTTTTCTTAGTTTTCATTAAATAGGCCTAATTGTATTCATCAGCATATTAAAGTTTTTCAAATAGACACACCACTTTGAATAAGTTGGTCCTATTTTAATACCTTTTAATCATTAAATGCGTTGCAAATAAAATCGTTGTGGATACTTCCTAATATTTTTAATTGCATGGTTAAGGTCTTCCATAAAATATTTGGATTATCTTTGAATTTAATCTCGACATTGTATTTTGATTTCCAATTGAATACGAAAATCATTATATAAAACAATCTTTTTTAGTTCATCTGGCATTTATATCTATAATTTAAATTTCAATGTTTATTAGTTTCATCGCTGTTGGTTTTATACTGAATAAAATAAAATAAAAATAATAATGATAATTTATATTTTTTCACTTAAATTTAACATTAAATTATCTGTTGTCGAATCACTAAATTGTTTGTTAATGTACTCATTTTAAAAGTGGTTTTAACATTCTTTATTTAATAACGATACGATTGCTTTGGTTCTTTTTTCCAGGGTATTGACCTATCCAGGTACCTAGGTTTAAAGGTCATTAATCTACTGTATTTACTCGGAAGTGATAAAGTTGCAAGCATTATATTGTATTGCCGGTGAAATTCACATGACTTTTGGTCTGTAAAATTGTCCTGTATTGCATTGCAATTGTATTGCATGTTCTATATAGACTTAATGTCATTACTTTTGTCTGATACTAACATTTGAATTCTATTATGTCGGGAAGAAGTGTTAATATAGCTAGGCTCTGCAATAGTCGGTTGTTGTCATGGTTGAAGGGTCCAGCTGCCTGTGTGGGACTCGTGGGTAGCACCGCCAACAGCAGTATGCATGGGCCTAGCGTTTCAAACTATACGCAAATACAACACAAGCAGAGTTATATTACAGGTATTGACACTGGTTATATTGTAAAATATTTGATTTTTGTAGAGGAGCATTGGTATGAATTATACCACCTCTTGTTAGAACAGGAGTTAAAGCCTACTCTACTAAAAAGATGAAGTGATTACTACTAGGCCTACAGTACTACTAAGACTCCAGTCTTTTTAGATTTTTAAGACAACTGATAGCCATAACATAATTATATTTTTCCCCAATCAAACGCAATATATTGTCCTTTAGCATGGAGTAACTCAAGGATGCCATATCGAAGTGTTCGTTCATACCAAGGCCCCCTTAAAGCAGTTGTATTTGACTGGGGAGGAACAGTAGTAGATAGTGGTGTGATGGGTCCAGCTATAACATTTGTCAGGATTTTTAAGGAAGAAGGAATAGATATTACAGATGATGAAGCGAGAGGGCCTATGGGTTCACACAAAAGGGTATGTGAAGAAGGCTTAAAGTACAGAAGGCCTACATTGCATTGTCGCAAACTGAACATCATTTATCAGGATCATGGACACCATATCCCCCAACATTATTATTATAAAATCATCTTATCCTGTCAACAATAATTACTAGTATTAATGATTGTTGTCATCATCATTATCATAATCGTCATCAGTTTCGTAATTCTTATGGGCTGTTGGCAGCTGAGGCCCCAGCTCCAACACCTTGTCAGGCCTTGGCCCCATGGCTCATTATGCCACTGATCATTATCTCATCATCTCATTATCATCATCATCATTATTCTGTGGCGTAACTCTTATGGGCTGTTGGCAGCTGAGGCCCCAGCCCCAACACCTTGTCGGGCCATGGCTCATTATGCCACTGATCATCATCTGATTATCATCATCATCATTATTAAATTAATAAATTTGGAAAACTTATAATTGGTACTAAGTAATAGTATATATTATGATATGTAATATAATTTAAATTTTAGAATTAAAAATATGCAACTGTTGTCATGATTGACAAGCATTGTTTGTTTGCATACAGGTACATATACAGAGGGTGTTGCAGAATGATGGGGTACGCGATCGATGGTTGGCGCAGCATGGTAGGGAGCCAACGGATGATGACATTGATCGCATCTATCACCGCTTCATTCCAGTGCAGCTGGAAGTACTTAAGGACTACTGTCAAATGATTACAGGTAATAAGATGACATTTGTATGTCTGGCAGTCTTCATGAAAGATTCAATATTAATTTATTCATCATACAGCACGTGAAATGTGTTTTCCTACATATAAATACCACAATGTAAAATATCAACAAAAAATACTGCACTTAAAATTATATAAATGTATACAGGTAGTAATAGCACTATAATGTTTAAATTCAGTAGCCAATCTTGTACAATATCTTCGCAATCTGATAGTGTTTGAAAACCACCAAGTATTCATCTTAAGGGAGAGCTACATACAACTGGCTTGGCTGACTGAATTGGAGCCCCACAGTCAGAGGCAGGGCTGTCTAGGAGATTCCATCGATGAAGGTTGTCTGTTGTCTTACCATGGCTGCTGAGTAGAAAAGGATAACATATATAATAACATAAAAATAAATAGTAATAACTAGGTTTACTATGTTTTTTGACTTAAGACATTTGCTAAGCTGAGAATGATAAATACCTGGCCTGATGTTTGAAATAAGAAGTCACTCTGTTACCATAAGATCTATGATTTCATGACATCATACTTACCAAAAGAAAATTCCTTTTGCGGCTTGATTTCAGGTGCTGTTGAAGCTGTGCAAATTCTGAGGACTAAGTACGACCTTAAGATCGGATCCTCCACTGGGTGGAGTTCTGAAATTGTGAATGAGATTAAACCAATAGCTGCTGCAGCAGGCTATGTACCGGACTGTTACATAGCGGCAGATGAGGTACCCCAAGCAAGACCCCTTCCTTACATGGTCTGGTTGAATGCTATCCGTATGGATGTTCATCCTCTAGAAGCTGTAGTAAAGGTGAGATAAAACTACAATGCACATACATTTATTACAATTATACTTTTCCTGCTTTTTTGATACCCTTTGACTTTTGTCTTATTCATTTCTAATTTGTTCTGTTTCTCCATTTCTTTGTTAACTGTAAAGTACTTATTACATAAAACCATGTTTTGTGTCTTTTAGTATGTTTTCACTATTTTATCCTATTTTCACTTTACAGCTTAAATTTTTGTACTTAAGTAATGGTTAGGTTAGCTGTAGATTGCTATGTTATATCATTGTTGTAGGTTGATGACACATTTGACGGCATTAGGGAAGGGACCAGTGCTGGATGCTGGACTGTAGGCGTTGCTAAATATGTAAGTAAATCATATAAATTTATTATTTTTATCATTATACTTATCATTATTTTCACTTATTTCCTTTCCATTTCGTAAGTGGTAGGCTTTTCCTGTTGTGTGTAAATAATAAACAATTTAATAATCAATAATAATAATTTTATCGGAGGGGCTTTGACAATTGAGTATGATTGAAAAGTTTGAGGTATATTTGGATTGAGTAAAACGGGAGTGGGGATAATGTTAATGATAGATTGGATAATGCTATGATAGGTGACAATTATCTTCACTCTGTTATTTAGGGAAATTACGTTGCTGCCACTGAAGATCAGATAGGGAAAATGAAACCACAGGAATATGAACGCAAACTCCAACGTGCTTATGAAGTGCTCTCCGATGCCGGCTCGCATTACGTAGTTGATAGTGTTGCAGACTTACCCAATGTTGTTGAAGATATAAATCGTAGGTTAGCAAGGGGAGAACGGCCATAAGTTAAAGCAACACTTTCCAAACTTAGGGTTGGAGCCAAATTTTGGGATGCCAATATTTTCCAGTGGGTCATGAAAAAAATGAAGAGAAAAATCACAGTAATATTCAACTCTGAGAGTGCCAGTCTGGCTATCTAAGTGTTCCATACCTATAAAATATCAAAACCTGAGGCCCAATTATGGTGTGACTGAGGTATGTACTCAGCATCTGAAAGTCCCTCACTGGGCTCCCCATAATTTCAATTCCTCAATCCACCACTAATAATGAATGCTATAAAAATGCAAATACACGGTCCTTTAATAAAGAGTAAAAATACTGGACAAGCAATTTGTTTGAGCATAGGTTCATCCCCCCCCCCTCACCTTCTTAGATTTTTGCATGCACCACCACAGCAAAAAAAAAAAAAATTCGATAAACCACTTTTAGGAGGTAAGGTCTGTCTCTTATACACATCTAGATGTGTATAAGAGACAGGTGCAATTCCATTATTTTTTTTTTTAATGTGCGAGGGTAAAAAATCGAGTTTCTGTGACCTTGACCATGACCTGTCTCTTATACACATCTAGATGTGTATAAGAGACAGGGGCATAGGACCAGGTGGCTTTCCGACTTATGAGTGGATGCGCGTGGGTGTGCGCGGTGTCTAATGGTTTAGGAAAACGTTCAGTGGTTTTTTATTGTTTAACTTTAACCATAAGTTTTCCTCTAAAGTGATATTTAACAATAACATATTCATCCAAAGTTCTATTCCAAAATGCTATTTTTTACAAGGTGTGAGTTTTGACGGGCCTAATAGTGCGTATCACATGACCAGTACATAAATTTTACCTAGCCTCACAAGAGAATATTAATTTTAGACTAGTAGTAACCAGGAACTACCAAGCTAGGTTTTGTGCGTTTTTCAAATCAGGTCCTATAGGAACACGTTAAAATCCACCTTGGGAGTGCCGTGGATGTTTCCACCCATCACTCACATCAGAAATCATAATACGTCACTACGTATCCATCTTTTGTTGCAATGATTACTCCCTGGATGTGTGGTCAAAGGTCAACTTGATTTATGTGGTTGTAGCCAGACCCAGGGGGTATGTTAACCAGGCATAATGTTGTCCCACGAGTGTTAGAATACGCCGTATGTACGTCAGAGTGAACAACATTGTTTCTGTACGTTTTCTGATTTCCTCATAGGGCCTGATGGATCTATAAAGCATAATTAACTTTTTGCTGACATAACATAATAGGCCTAATGTACAGTAATAAACAAACATTTAAAAGTGTAGCAAGGTCCCAAACTGTATAGAATGTCTTATACCGGTATTCACTGATGATTATCATTGCATACAAATGAGGGCGTACAAAGGAAAAATGAACGTTCCGTCAATGGTTGTACACTTAGCGCATATAACATTCGTCTTCATGCGCTTTCTAGGACAACAGAAAACAACAAAATAAGGATAAATGGTGGTTGAAACGGAAAAGAAAGTGGAAGAAAAAAAAACACAAATAAAGGAAAGTGAAAAAAAAAACGTGGAAGAAAATTAGAGATTGTCAAATAAAAATGCTATAAAACGGCGCTTAAAAAAGATCATCAAATTAGGAGACTCTTAAACAGATTGTCCCTGTAGCCAAAAGGCTCCTAAATACAGCACATTTTGTTTATCTATTTTTATGTATTATTTGTTATAAATTCGTCAAATCCACATACAAAAGAACATTCTCGTACACAAAATTATAAGTCAAAGCAAAGAAGTAAAAAAAAGGTTAGTGTCAAGAGAAAATAATGGTCTTAAAGCCCGACACCATAGTGAATTCTGTCTAAACTGCTAACCTGTAAAAACAATGAAAAATATACTGAAGATTTACAATATTTGTAATACACACAAGCAAAGTCTTCTGCTGTAAAATGGATCCTATTTAAGGAATTAATGCTGAGCTTAAATTAGCCGTTTAATACTTAATGCAATAATAATAATAATAATAATAATAATAATAGGTATATTAATAATAACAATTATTATTATTATGAAGATTGTAATAACGATGCGATCCCTTGCGTTTGGTACCATTGCTTTATCGCCAATTAGGCCTACAAACACAATGCTATTAATACGGTTTTCTGGAGATATTATGGTGTTACCAGGTTGGTGTAAAATTTGTTCACCGGGAAAATTATTCGTAATTAAGTTGACCTAATAATCACTGGGATACTATAAAGCGATAGGCCTACTATAGAGCTGTGGTATAATGTAAGAAACTAAGTGTTGCAACGAACATTTGTAAGATTCCCGATGCATCGTTTGGTTGAGAATCACAAACTGTTGTCAATTACCAAGTGTTCACCAAAGACAGTGAGTGTTGTTGCAGAAAGACCTACATTTACCAGGTTAAATATAAGGAACGCGACGATTTACATTTTTACCAAAATTACATATCGGTTTAACAGAATCTGATTAAGATGATGACAAAGATACGAGTTAAGTCATCTTGCTCGCAACTTAATACGATTATAATTATGGAATATTTATAGTTAATGTAGTTTTATTTATATAACATGTTAGCTCAAAAAACAGAATACTGTAATTGAGTATCTTAAAATTACAGTTCAATATTTATTGTTCTTTTATGTTGGATGCGCACACACGTCTTTGCATGTGCATACACCGGTACGTATTTTTCACTCTATATCCATAGATATGCAGACTGAAACTCGAGCTATACTTATTACGTCACAATTATGTCTACAACATAATTATGCGCTTCATCATTTTGTTGAGTCCACACTCATCGACCTACTTTTTATTAGAAATGTAAACATTCTGAGCTCTTTATCTCCAGATTGGCTGTGATGCAACGCGTGGCCTCATGCGCATAATTGTTATAGTGCGGGCCTACGTGTAATTCTGACGTCATCACGTGGATACATTGCCGCCACAGTACATTCTCAAATATCTGGTGCAATAATAGCATGCACAGTATATCAACGACGTATTAGTCGGCAGTTGGGCCAGTTTATGATTTATAACTATTTCACACAGAAAGTGATGTGATTTTAAAGTAAAGTGTTAAGATTTTTAAAAGAAACGTTGTAATTTTGTTCACTTAATAAACAGTGTCCCAGCGGTCAAGCCATATGCTAAGTTTTTAATGTGAACATTCGTATAATTTGGCACCATCTGTCATCATCAAGCAATGAGTGAAAACAAAAGAGACACCATTGGTTTTTTTTATAGACAGAATAATATTGAATTTACAAAGTCATTTATCTTCATCTCGTAATTAGATTATGCTTATTATTGTTTGTGTAATTGTCTAATTTATAGGCACAATAACCCAAGTTGACTTTTACGAGCGAATACAATTAAACTGAAGTATATTTATTAAACTATATCGTATCCTTGAAGAAAGAGAGGAATCCTGGTGAACTTAAACTCAGGTCTATGATTATTATGTAATCGTGATAGAAATGGAACAATTGAACCTTCTGCCTTTTGTAATGTGTTTTATACCTGAATAATGTACAGTAAAATAAAACTATCATTTTGAATTTAACTTATTTAGGCCTACGACAATTTTATCAGCGAATGTAAGAAACTTACACCACTACAATTTTAAAATATATTTCTTTGTTGTATGATTTATGTTGTATGAAGTATATTTTCGGAGATCCCAGCTTGTATCAAATGTTTTAGATGAGGGTGTATAATCTGTGTTATTTGCAGTGCATAAAATACTGTTTGCTGTTCTACTACGCATGTGCAAATAGTATTGAAAATTAGTTGCTTCCAACAAATGGATAATTAATTTTGACATCATTTCTTGCAACTAAATGTTCAAAAAGTGAGTTGATTAAGAAATGATACAGTAATAACAACAAAATGATGTATAGGCCTACATGTAAAAGTAAAATGAACCAAAGAAAAGTACCGTAAACTTTAATAGAAAGTAATGAGAGAAGAATGTTGGTCTAACCAAGGAGGTATAACTTTTATACCTAAAAAAAAAAGAAAAAGATTTTATTCTAACAACTATGTTCTAAGAATTATGGAACTTGGTTGTAGAGCTCTCTGGCAACAGTAGGGCAATATTTTGTTTTATTGTAAAGTTGATCTTGGATTTTCGTCAATCTCCGTTGGAGATATTGAAACGAGGCAGAAAAAAACAAATTGTCACGGTATCCGTCGCATATTTCATAAAGTCTCGTCCGACTTTATTTCAGATTCAGATCATATTTTTATTTGCCTTATAAAAAGATCGCCGAAGTGAAATCGGAAGTGCAGAGCGGCGCCATCGGCGGCGAGGGAGGCGACAGTCCGTCATAAAAACGGTCTGAAAACAGCTGTTGTAAGGCCTCAGATTTACAATATGACTTGGTGCTTTTTACGAGACAATTATGCAGTTATTCTACCATTGAGATGTTAATATGAGATGAGTCGCTGTAATTCAAAAAGAAACGACGAAATTCTGTATATAAATAAGTACATTGATACGAAGCCTATAATACGTATTGAGTTATTAGAAGCGCATTGTTCATGTTAATTTCAAGGTGATTTTGGAATTGCACTTGCTTAAAATTATCCGCGGATTTTGTTACCAGCTATTAGGATTCTGTCACTAGTAATTATCATGTTAAGTACTTCATCGTTAATTGAAAATGTCAATTTATCATAATTTCTTTTTTATTTCTGTTCATTTTAAAACACATATTTTCAACAATTTCAATAATTATCTTTTAATGTTGTGGATTACCTGTACCATTAGGCCTATATCAGATACCGTAAAACTTTACTATACCGTAATAACACTGTGTTATTATTCTTTTATTGTTTTTGTAAGATGATTACTTTGAGTATGGGTTAGGCCTACTATTAGAGTAATGGGTTACTATTACATATGTTTAATGTAGGTACTTAAAACCCCACCCACCCCAGGTCTTCGCAATTCATAGAAATAAATAACTACAGTTACGAGTAAAACAACTTTGTTGATTTATTTATAAACTCAAACACATATGTCCGCCCCTCATCTTATTAGAACATAAGGAAAATTAACAAGGTGTAAATTAAAAA